AACCTACTCGATATAGAAAAAAACATCCTTATTGTAAACATAATGGGGGAAAAATTCCGGGGGTCTACCCCTTGACAGAAACCCCAAAAATTAAACACCTTTATCCAACACAAAACAAAAAAAGTACCAAAAAATTGGCACCCTTTTAAAAGGGTTACAAAATTGAACCACAGACACCCCTCTTACACCATTATTCAATGATCTCCCCCTACCTCACTATGCAATCTGTGCCTGGGACTCCAAAAAGGGAAAAAAATCCCCCCCAAAGCCAATAATTTTTTTTTTTTTTTTTTTCAACAAACCGCCCTTTATATCCCCCCAAGGCGGGGTTTGGCCCAAAAAAAAAAACAAAAGTTTCTTTTTAAATTTGTAATCCATACAGGAAAAAGGGGGTTTTCTACCCCCTTGCCCCCGGCTTTTAAAATCTCCTCTTAAAACTCACATAGTTAAAGAGGAAGAATTCGGGCCCCACTTCCCCATGGAAAAAATTTAAACCCAGGAACAAGAAACTAAAAAGAAAGAAGAAAATCCAGGGGGGTGTTTAATATTTATACACCCCCCTCGGGGTTTTTTCTTCTTCTTTCTTTCTAGTTCTTTTTCCTGTTTTTTTCCCCTCTTATCTCCAGGGGGGGAATTTAAAAGGAATTCTTCCTCAAGCTATGCGTGTTGAAAGGGAGGCGACAAAAAATGCGGGAGAAGGGGGTAGAAAAACCCCTTTTCTCCTGTTATTTTTTCAAAGGGAAAAAAGGAAAAAAATTTTCCTTTTTTTCCTTTTGGGGCCCACCCCCCCTCGGTGGGATTGGCTGGTGTTTTAAAAAGAAAGATTCTGGGAAACCCCGCAAAAACGATTTAATGGGTTTTCCTGAAAAGCTCATTTTTTATGGGGAAATTATGTTATGCAAAAGTTTTTTTCCCCATAAAAAATTTAAGGGAAAAACCCAAAATTTAAATCCGTCAAAGGACCCCCCAAAGTATGAAAAAAAAAAATTTTTACCACATAAAAATTTTAAATTTTAAAAACCCCAAAAACTGAAAAAGGAATGCCAAATTTTAAACATGACACTTCCCTTTTTATTAAAAGATTTTGGTGTGATGTGGGATGGGAGGAGGAGAGGGGTCTTAGGGGGTTGAAGGGGAACCCCTTTCCATTAAATTGAGGTGTCAAGCCCTTTTTTCGGGGGTTACTTCCTTTTTTAATGCACAGGCCCAGCTTCAGAGTCACGGGATTCTGTCGCAAAAACATATTGTCCATAGTGGCCTTTTCCCCTCTCTTTCCCTTTAAATGATTTCCCCAAAAAAAGTTTTTCCCCAAACAGTGTAAGTTTAATAGTCACCAGTAGGCCCTTGAAATAGCTGTGTTAGGGGGGATTGTCATCAAAAAAGGGTTTCCCACTTTAAGGGAAACCCCAAACACTTTTCCTTAATTTTTAAAGTAGGCAATTTCCTTCAATTTCTCTCCCCCCCTCCCCCGGAAACCAGTTTCCTCAGGCCCCCCCGGCCCTCTTGCTGTTGAAGTTGATCTAGCAGCTCATCAGGGGTTTTGTTCTTCTTGTCCTCCTCCACCAACTCTTCCACATCACCCCACACTAACCTCCCCCCCAAAAGGATTTTCCCCAATGCCCCCAATGGTTTCCCTAAAATGGTTTACTCCTTCGGGGTTTTAGCCGAAAACCCTTCCCAAAACCCCTTTTTGGTCTACACATTCGGGCCCACAGTTTTTTCCCAAAGCGAGTTCAAGGCCCTCTTAGTACCCCCCCCCAACCCTTCCCTCCCAAGGTTTTACACAATTGAGGTATTAAAGTGATCTCTCCAAAAAACTCTTTTTGGGGTAAAATCGAGTTTCTGAGGGTAAATTCAAAGCCCTTTCAAACGAGCTTTTGTGTACAGTTTTTTAAATTTTTGCAAAACCTGCTGGCCCATGGGCTGCAGGAGGGAGTGGTATTGGAAGGAAAAAAAACTTCCCCTTTAAATAAAGCTTTTGTCCCCCTAAAGTTGCTCTGCCATGTCTGTAGGGACCGGGGGGCATTGTATAACCCCAGGGGGGCACTTAATTTTATTTTTTTTTTCCCGTTAGGTAATTTTTTAAATTTGGAGGAAAATTGCAGGGTTTGAAAACCAGTCATAGAAAAAGTCCTAGGGGACCAGGCCTTAAATGTTTCCCCTCCCAGCACAAACAAATTAGCCTTGAGGATATTTTTTTTCCCCTAAAACGTCTGGGAGTTTCTGTGTGTTTAACCTAAAAAAGATTTTCATTTTGCAATCACCATGGGCCTTTGGAACACATCAACGGAGTAAGCCTGTTTTTCGTAGGCTTAGGGCCTGGGAAAGTGTCTTTTCCTCTGAGTAATGTGGGTTTCCTGCTTGGCATTTTCTTCCAAAACGGGCCTTTTTAAATCCAATTAAAACTTGTTCAGGTTTCAGCCCTTTCACTTCTATGTACCCCGGAATTCCTGCATATTTTTCAGCTGCTTTGTGGTCCAAACTGGAAACCCTCCCCATGCCTTTCCACTTTTGTATGCCACTAGGGTTCTTAAATCTCTAAACCAACCTTTGCGGGCCCTTTAAAATTCACTCGATCACAAAGTTGCGGGAAATTTTTTTTAATTTTAAATCCTAATGAAAATTTTCCAAAGTTTTTTTTCACTTAGGGATCACTTGAGGGGATCCCTATCTTGTATTGTTTTTATTTATCCTTTACCAATAAGTTTGTTCAACATCTTCATAAACCTTGCGATTTTGGTTTCAAAAAACACAGTTGAACCTTTGGCAAAAACAGTTTCCCTTTGTTTGGATTTTGTTCCCCACAATAGTAGCGATGGTTGGTTGGGGGTTTTATTATCAACCGGCCAGCTCGGAGACACGCACCCCCCCAAACTTTCATACTTAGAAATAAACTTTTTTTTCATCCCCATAGAAATTTTCCCCCCCCTTTATTGCTGTGGGGTTTGGGCATTTGAAGCTTTTTTGGGGGCCCCATGGTAACTTATTTTGCAGATAAAATCCCCAAAAAAACACTGAAAAATAATACGAAATTTTCCCGTTGTATGCTTGGATGTTAAACCCCGGGGGTGGCTGGTTTAACCCAAAGCCCCCGGCGGAACATTTTGAGGCTGGCTCAGGCCAACCCCTTTTGAAGGTTCGGGACAAACAGCGTTTAGGGGGTTTTTTGCGGTATGCGAGGCAAAAAACTTAGCGATAAAATGTATGGTATGCGGAAAATTTAAAGTTATGTATGCCAACCCTTTTGCGGGGGTCAATGTATATTTAATTTTTTCTTTCTTTCAAACACCGGCCTTTCCCACCGGGTGGGGTGGCCCCAAAAGGAAAAAAGAAAGTTTTCCCTTTTACATTTAGTTTTTATATACAGGGAGAAGGGGTTTCTAGCCCTTGCTCCCGGCCTTTTTTGTCGCCTCTTACAACCCCGCCTGGCTTAAGGAGGAAAAAATTCTGTTTTCCCCTTCCCCCGGAGGTAAGAGGAAATAAAAAAAAGAAAAAGAACTAGAAAAAAAATAAAAAAGAAAAAATCAAAAAGGGGTTTTTATATTTATTTGTTAAAATATATATATGCTTGTACATTTATGTGTAGTGTGACTTAAGTGTAAGTAGAAATACCAAAAAGTACCCGAAAAAACCCGCACGTTTTTGAGACAGATAAAAAAGACACCGCAAACCTACCATCATGTAAAACAAGCCAATAATAAACCCAAAAAAAAGCTGCAGTGCGAAAGATCACACAATCCCCCAGCTAGTAAAAATCTCCCCCCACTTTTCAAAGATCTAAATTACTTTACAATTTCAAAGCATTCACTGTACTATGTGCAAAATTTCATTTACAGAACAATAAATTTCAAAAAAAAATCCCGACCTGAAGCCCCTTTCTTTACAGTTGTAAAAGGTTCCTTTGGGCACAATATAGACAAAAATTTAGCTTTCCCGTCTTGAGTTAAATTTTTTTCCAAAAAATTAATGTATTAGGGAAAGGGCCCAAAAAACTGGAACTCTGCCAGAAATCTCCCGAAAACCCCTGCTCAGCTAGCATTTTTAAAATACAGTTTAAAAACTTTGTCCCTTTAAACCCATCCCAAAATCTTTAGTAATAAATATGTAAAAATCCTATATTGTACTGCATTTGTCAAAATCATGAAAATAGGTAAAAACATTATAATTTAATAGATGTTTACTTTCAATATCTGTAAACATCTCAAATTTAAAGTTTTAAATTTTAAATTAAAACCATTTTTCCCTGAGCTAAAAGAAATTTTTTCAGTTTTTTGTATTCACTGTAACTGCCCCCTAATGACCCCAGGGACAATTTTGGGACTGTTTTTGCCCTTTTTAACCCTTTAAATTTGCCGAAATTTATCCCCATAAAAGGGGTTTTGGCAAAATACACCCCCAAATTTTTTAACTCTTTTGTAAAAAAAAGGTTTTAAAGTAAAATTAAAAAATTTTTACTGGGTTTTTATTTTTTTAAAACTATCCCGGGGTTTTAAAAAAAAA